AAAAGGGAATGAGGCCAGTGGGTTACCACTTCACTTCCAGGAAGTGATGTTTTATTACGCTGAGCGGTGAGTCTGAAAGGATGCAGATACAGTTTAGTGACGCACAAGTGTGTTCAACAGTCCTACGTATATTGAGATACAGGACGTCAGAGGTGAGAGACTCGTCACCTACAGAAGAACTTATAGAATCTTGAGTAGGAATCTGTGGGGAATTCTGTACCACAGAAGATGGCGGTTGTATAACACAAGTCCCGCCTCCTCCCACTAAAAGCCAATCGTCTTGTTTGTTTCAGTAGAACCAGGAAACATCCAGCCAATTGTGTTGTTACACCGATGCATGAACATTGTCGTCAATGTTATCAGTTATCATATTGTACCAGTGATTAGATGGACACTGTATGATGACAAAATGTTTCACTAATTACTGATAGCTTGTAATAGCAATGGTGCTAACCACTGAGCCACCTTGCAGCCCTGAATTCAACCCCTTCATCTTATTTATCGAGGTACACAGGTGATCATTTTAATGTTGACACAACGCTAAAAAATGCAAATAAATACGCACACAAGAATAAAAATAAATAAGGACGAGGAATGATCGACATCATTAAAACCTGAATGTCCATGGAGGAGGACCAGAGTGAGGCTGGTGCACCACATTGCTGGTCTAGATCAGGGATCACCCAGGCCTACTGGGGATTTCATTTTAACGCTGTGGCTCTCTCCTCTTTCATTCAGACGGAGATCTGGTCTGGTTGGCCTGAAATAACTGAGCAGAAACATCTAAGATGGCTGTCGATGGGTGAAACATGCCTAAAGGGACTCCAGTCTAATTGCTGCAGTTTGGTTTTCAGATTGTGGAGTTTTGGTAAATGGTAAATGGTCTGCACTCCATTCACACACATTCATAAACCAACGGTGACAGAGCTGCCATGCAAGCTGCTGCCTGCCACCGGGAGCAACTTCAGCTTCTTGCCCAAGGACACTTTGACTGTGGAGGGGCAGGGGATCGAACCACCAACCTTACGATCAGAGAACAACCACCTGAGCCACAGCCGCCCATTTTCAGACAGTTTCCTTCTCCCCCCCCAAAATGTACACCTTCTATGACATTACAGCTTTTTAACAGCAAAATGAAATTGAGGTCATTTTTCCTTTGTGGGCCACAGCAGGCCTCTGTCGTCTGAACACACAAGTAGTTTCAACACGTGCTTTCCTGACGTCTCTCCGCTGATCCTTTATGACATTCGTGTCATCTTTTCTTGACACGTGTCCATACAGTTTGTTTCCCACGTTTCCTGGCCTCCAAGGAGCCGACGTCACGGCGACGTCTGCCTCTTTGTCCTCTCAACTGGAATACATGTCACGGGAGTTATGTTCTGTGTAACTGTGTCACTGCTCTTCACAGACTGTTTGTGCTTCTCTACGGCGAGAACACGTGTGAAACCTGCACACGCTCAGCTCATAACCAGCAGCTGTGCTTCAGTACAAATTTGAGTCATTTTACTTGGAAAAAATGGCAGTTTTTACTTCACTGCATGTCCTTTACAGCTATTAGTCCTTATTATGATGTGTCAGATGTTTGCTTTTGGCTTCTCTCTTTGATTATTAGTCATTTCACAACCCCTCAGATTTATCATGCGACTTTTCAGAGGGACTCAAACCCTCAAAGTTGGAAACCAAAGGACTGATTTAACAGCATGAGAAGCACTTAAATGAGGTCCGAGCTCAACCAGTAACGCATGAGCGCTGATACTGCAATATTAAAACACTAATGAGGTTTTTTATTACTATCGTGATGAGTTTTAATGAAGAGGAGCTTTACTTTCAGGACTTTTGAGTATTTTTACATCGTTTTAAGTGCGTCGTACTTCTTCCATTGTTGACTACGTGAGCTGCAAACACCGGCCTGAGTGAAGTGTCCTCTCTGCACCACACTGACTGTTTCTACACTGACAGACGAGCAGATTTCAGAAAGCTGTGATGGGAAGAATCACGCAGGTACGAAAGGTTTAGCATGAGAACTGAAAACAACAAAGAGGGAAGAAAGAATGTGTCTCGATTTTTTTTGCGTGGCTTCTACAGTAATTCATTTAAAGCTTTTACGAGAACAGAACCAATGTTAAATAATACACAAATAGAACAGATATCTATACGCTGCTTATAAATGCTCTACAGGAAGGCTTTAACGGGTTCCCAAACCGCTACTAACTGTGTAATTACCACACAAACGACTCTACAGCTCGTTGGAACTCATAGAGGAAACCGATTATTGTCGCGGTTGTGCTGAAAAAAATGAAGCATCATCAGGCTGCATCTTAAGAAACACTTTTTTTTTTTTTTTTTCTCGGTGACCTACATTAAACAGAAAACCAGCAGAGGACAAGAAAAGAAAAATGGACTCGTCATTGCTTTGACAGAGAAAAGCTTCTCAATTTGGTTTGTTGGATTGTAAAAAAATAAACAAGTGCTGGAAGAAGCATTTAGATGTTTTAGTTAAGCATCAACAATAAAAGAAAATACTCAAAGTAAAAGTATCTGAGTTCTACTATTAATTTTCCTGCATGAATATTACACGATGATCTCATTTTTTAATGTAGCTGCATTTTATTTTGGAGGATTCTTCACGTGCTTCGTCTGTAAAATAGGTATTTGTGTAATAAAAGGTGACCACAGCTGCCATGTAGTGCAGCAAAAAGTACAATGTTGTCCCTGTGACATGTAGTGAAACAGCAGGACAAGGTACAAATACCTCGAAATATACTTAATTACACACCTCTCAGTGACGAGGTGTCACCAGGGTGAGCTGAGTCCAGCATGTGAGGGGAACTCAGCCGTCTCTCCCCCACGGACTCGGCCTCACGACAAACCACACAGCTACAGTTGGACATTTACATTTACAGGGAATTGAAACCTGTGGCCTTTCACTTTTACCAGCAACACGGAGGTGATGGTGATCCCAGTGAAGAAAATGTCGCTCGGCATGCAAAGCAGGTCGCTTTTCAAACGAGCGAAGGCAGCTCACGTCGAGTGTCGTGTGTGGTGATTAAAGCGATGGGAGACAAACAGAGCAGCCCTCGTCCTGCAGTGATGAACTGCTTTAGAGAAGGTGGAGGAACAGTTAGAGCAAGCAAGAGGTGTTTAAGTTGTAGTAGTTCTCTAGAAGAGGAAATTTAGATTATCAGCGTCACCATCTCTCAGCGGAAACGTTTCACCAAACCTCACTGCACCTCTGGGTCGTATAAACACCTACTTAGAGTACAAATCTAAACTGGGTCACTAAAGATGATTTAAACTACATCTACATCTACATTAATGTCACATACGAACACGAGTCATGAAACTGTACCACCTGATGGGAGCTCTACAGATAAGCGGGCAGTGTGTTGTAACTTCTGTCCCTCTTCCATTGTGGCCTTATTGCCCAACGCTACGTCGCTCTGTGCTGCTACACGAGTTGAAATGACATCATGACGTGTCTGTAACTGAAAATCTAAACACACGTGTAAACGCTCAACTTTAAAAGAAATGTGATCGATTAAGACAATTATCGGAGAGAAATAAATGTTCTGGTGTTTGTGTCGTGATCAAATCTTCTTGGCTGCTGCCGGCTTCTTTTTTTTTTTTTTTGAAAAAGGCAGAAGGCAGAGAGTGAAGACGGAAGAAGAGAAAGAGAGCGGCTGTGACTGTTAGACCTCTTCCTGTGGTTACATCACGTGGTTGTGGAGGGTTCAAAAGGAGACGACTTCTTCTTCTTCTTCTTCATCTGCTCCTCGGACAGACAGAAGACACCTGTGAGGCCGCCGGACCGTCGCCGCCGCTCAGAACACAAAGAAATAAATGCAGGTTGAGGTAAAGTATGATGGACGACGCTGCCTGTTGAATGCTACGATTATTTATTTATTTACTTTTTTTTAAATGAAATGCTTTTATGTGTTTAATGTTAAAGGAAAAGTCAGTTTTTCCACTTTTACTTCAGTTATTTTGCATTTCTTTAATTAAACTTGTAGTTCAGTGACGTCTGTTCAGAAGTTCATTCAGATTTTAGGTTAAAAAACAACTTTAAACTGGAAACTCAAACATTTTTGCTGTAATATTGTCACTATTTATTTGTATTATTTAAATGCTTAATGTGTCTTTCTAATCTTTACATTTGATGCAGTTTCTTTCTGAACTGCAAACACACGTCTGCAGTTATTTTATTTCTGAATGTACCTCAGACAGAAAAGCTTACTCATGGCAGCCAAAATGGCTTCCTCAAGATAGCGCTTCCTCTAGTTTCCTTCTGACATTTGCCTCAAAAATGACAGTTTTATAAAGACGGGTGGAGATTTCAGGCTGATTTTTCTGTTTTTTGTTTTCATACACTGATGTTAGGAGGTCTTACTTGTGTGATGTGAACAAGTTGTGTGTAGAGACAGGCATGCAAATGTTTCAGGAGAAATCAGGAAGTGTGCATTTTCTGGTTTAACAAAAGCGAGGGCTGTTGAGCTGAGAGGTTTCATGTCGGTGTGTGTGTGTGTGCTGCTGTGTGTCCGGGTGGGGGTGGGCGGCTGCAGACTTGGGTGCAGGTGCAGAAGAAGAAGAGAGAAGAGAGAAGTGGGAGACGACAGAAGAGGACGTACGATGTACAGTGCAGTCATCCATAAAGTAGAAAGCACTACTAAACTCCAAGCCAAAGTGTAGTGTTTCCTACTTTATGGATGAGTGTACTGTTGGCTTCAGGGAGGCCCGGCACGGCGCCCCGCGCACAAACTCACAAAAGAGGAAGCTGCTTTGTCTCGCAAGGCCACGCATCACCCAGAGTGTTGCAGCAGTCAGTTCACATGGGCTGAGTGTGGCGCCGAGCAAAGCTTCCTACTCTTTCTCCATTTTGTAATTCACCTGTCCTGAAACAAACACACACAGCATTCAATGTGTATAATCTGTCTGAAATGAAATAAAGATCTAAATGATGAAGTATCTTGTTTTACCTCGTCTTCCTGGAGCAACACACACATCACACTGTTTTTTTTTTTCTGTGAAAATATACATACTTTATTCCTGTAAAAAGATCCATATTGAAAGAAACCATCACAATTTTCAAGTCAAAGAGTCCTCTGCCGGACTACGTCTTTACACACTGTTCCTCCGTCGACGCTGCTCGGACATGCAAAAGAAAAAAGAAAATCTGAAAAACAATATTAACAAAAAATATTTACAGATGAGCTTCCAAAAAGGGTAATAAAAACATTAATATATCATATAAAAAGTTCAATCTTACACTGGTTTCAAACAATGAATGCATGTCAGGAAAGACAAAAGAAAAAAACAAAAAATCCCGCACTGTATGAAAATATACCACAAGTCCCGACACTGTTCAGTATGTACAGACAGCTACTACAGCTTCTCCTCCACTGCATCGACAATCTACAACACTGTAGACGAGTCAGCCTAGAAAAAAACGGAAACGTGACAGCAACATAAATAAGGCCGAACATGGGTATAACATTGGTATGCATGCAGTCGATAAACATCCTGTAAACAACATATTAAGACTAAACAAGGTCTTCGTGTAAGGCTAAATATGATCGGCTGAGCTAAAGTACTACCTATATGGGTCGAGGTCCTATTCAGTCGACAGTGGAGCCGCCTAAGTCACTACACAGCAGAGGAAAACGTGTGCATTAAAGGCCGTTAAATACAAGATCAGTAGAAATATTCGCTGTACATTTCGGCAACTTTTGAGCATCCACTCTTTTTTGTTTTTTTGTTTTGTTTTTTAAAAAGAAAAACCATAAATAAAGAGGAAACATACAGTACAGCCTCAGTCTTGCCTCTATCCCGGCTACTTCACATCTAAAGTGTCTTCGACAACCCGCCCTCCCTTTTATTCTTGGCATCATCATGCTCCCTTTATGTAACACTGACAAATTCAAACATTCATGACAGTAAAGAAAAAATAACACGTCTGCCTCCCGCTCGAGCCTCCGCAACCCCCATGCGAGGGATCAGGCCTCCCGTCCCTTCAGCCCACAGTCTCGTCCGCTGACAAACGCTCGGGGGATGCTCGGTCTCTCGTCGCTATGGTAACAGGCAAAGCACCTAAGATTTTGGCATATTCTGCTGCTTCTCGACGGCCACGCTGGGAGACGGGCGGCTCAGCAGTGAAAAGAAACTACGAGTGAAAAACCTGAGAAGTGACCTAACAGCCCTGTGTGACACAACCGGACCGAGCGACTGACAAACTAAGGCCTGCTCCGCACACTCACACCTGAACTACACTTCAGTAACCGCTAACAGCTCCGTTCCCCCGCTGCAGTACACAACACGCTGTATTGCTAAAGTTGCACTATTTAACACAGTGGTGGTGACGCAAACGTGAGGACGGAGACGGTCATCGCCACTGCATGAACTGATGGAGGTGTAACGTTGTTCAGCCTGTCTCACACACCACGACTTCATCCTGCCCCGAACACGGAGGCAAAACAGAAGATACATGAAGGTGTACGTATTGCAGAGTCTATCTCAGCAGCGCCACAAACCACCAGCGACACACGACTAAAAACTGCTCGCCTCAAACGCATGAAGTGCTGTACTGGGTGTTGTCTTGTATGAAAGAACACACAACATGCCACACACACACACACACACACTACATTCAAACCATAATTAATCCCAAAGGCTTACAGACGACAAGTTCAGCATCAGTTTCATTCAAATCTAGATATTGGACCAAACCAGAATATTTTCAGTTTGTAATTTTGGAGCACAAATTAGCAAGAGCTGCAACAAAAAGCTGATTGATCAATTAATCCTAATGGACGGAAACATGAAGGTAGAGGGTGTGAGGAGGGACAGAAATGAGGCATGAGATGGAGGATGTCAGCGCTGAAACAACAACTCAGTCAGAGGTTGGACAGAGACACAGTCAGGTAGGTAAGGGAAGCTTCCTGATTGAAGTAATGTGAAGATGCACCTCCTAAAGACGACGGTTTCCATAAAGTTGTCGTTCAGGTGAAGCAAAGTAATGTTTGAAAGGTTGCAAAAAAAAAAGAAAAAGCAAATGAGGTTTGTTTTCATGACCTGCTCCTTAGAGAATAAACTGTGCTGCCTAATATGAAGAAACGGGAGAGACGTCCTCAGCTTGTGATTGTTCTTTAACGTCAGCTTATACTGGCCATGCTGTCCAAATGTGGAGACAACAAGAGAAACGTAAATGGCTGATTGTTTAAATCCACAGAAAACAATGAGCAGGGATGTCTCACTGCACGACCCAACTTTTCTGCACAACTTGAAATTGTCAGCGTGGTGTGATGCTGCTCAAAGGTCGCTCTGGTCGTTTCTCGTACTGAAGGAAACGGTAACACGCAGACAGTGGAGGCAGAGCAGGAAGCCGACTGAAGTGTTGGGCCGGTGGCAGGCTTCTACCTGCAGCCTACATCTGGTGACTCACCACGGTGACATTTAGGTGAATGAAGTGCATGAAGTCTTTTCCTCAACTGACTGTAAAAGCTTTTGCTATTCCCGTGAACTTATTCTAATACTATAATCTACTGATATAAACCATAAATCCACTTGGAAAACACTGTAAAATGAACTCTAGAAGTTCCTGAGAGTAACAACATTTTAAAGTTTTCTGCAGTTTTAAAGTCATTCTGTGGGAGCTGTCTGCTCACTCATGGGTGCCCAGCAGACTGGAACCGCTAACAGCTCATCTGGCAAACTTTGAATGGTGTCAGTCTGACAACAAAATGCTGCTCAAACTGTACGTCCCAGATGATGGGAACTGTGGCTCCAAAGCTGACACCATGATAACTTTACAAAGTGAAGGCTTGATGATATTTAGCTGGTTAGCATATTTAGATAGTTGTACCAGATTTACCGTCCCTTTCACTCCCTCTGCCTCCTTTAGCCTCATCCTTAAACTGGTGCAGGGTTGTGTAATCGGTCCGAACCACCGTCTTTGCTTCCTATTGACAGAGGCAGGGCTGCGTACCAACACTGGATGGTCGGTACCTGCACTTCATAAACAGAACAGGTTTTAGAGTTAGAGCTTCTTTCTTCTTTTAGCCTTTGGGGAAAGTGTAGTGAGCATTTTCACTGCTTTTTAATGCTTCATAAACCAAAGGATTGATTGATGGAGGATTAATTGATGATGATCAGTAGTTGCAGATCTGTTAGCTCACAAAGCAGCCTGCTGATGCGCTCATGCTGTGATATTTCTGTACACGGCAGGTCTCTGTCACACTCACACACACAGATTATATGTAGTATGTAACCGTCAGGCCGGTCGTGACTGTTGTCTCAACCGTCCAGAGTTCCTGTGTTAGTGTCGGAGAAAGGCATCTGTTTTCAGTCTCACTAGTGGACTTCATCTACACACGACAAAGAAGGACAACCCTTCACATTCTTTACATCAAACTTCAACAAACAGGATGACCGTTAACCTCAAACCCCCAAAATGAATCCGCTCTAAACTACACATATGAAAATGGACCCTGACTGTCTGGGACAGCTCTACACGACGACACTCCTGCCCTGATGCCACTTCATGCAATGTGATGATACGGGCAAGAGTCTGATACAAATAAATAACATGTTCTGTACAAAGTACTGTATAAATACTCTTAAAGACAAGAAACACAGGTGAGGGAAGCAGACATATTTAAAATACATCCATTCAGGATGGATAGTGCATTCTCATAGTCACGCAGAGGAAGAGATAGACGGCTGCTTCTGTTTGTTTGCTTCAAATAAATAAAGTGGCACCAGTACACGAGCATTAAAGCTAACATTTAATTAGCTGTCTCTGAGTTGGGATGAAGTCTGCTCTGCTGTTCAATATCATAGACTGTTCTAAATAAATCCGATCTCCTGGGAGATTACTTAGTGTTTTAAGCATTAAAGCCTCTAATGAGTTGAAAATTTGCAAACGCTTGGATCATTAGGAAGTATTTAGAGAGTATATTTGTGAGTTTGCTCACGTCAACATGCACGTCTACATGCTCTCGTGATGCTGCAAGCTGAACGTTGGCGTTTTAAAGTACTCTATATTTACCAGCTGGTCTAGCAGTGCTCTAAGGCAAATGTATAATTACTGATGGTTAAAGCATCAGGTATTAGATGTGATAGCTGCTAACTGCACCGACTATCGAGTGACACTAACAGTACAGACAGAAAAAAGTGCTTTCAATGTGACGCAAGTATTCCCAGTCAGATGTCCTGACTCTCATTCTTTCTTGCTGGATCCCAGCTTCTTGAACAGCCTCTTGCCTTTGGAGAAAAAGCCTTTCTTCTTCTTTCCCTGCACAGAGCTGTCTGTGGGAGGGGGGGCAGGAGGGGAGCAGCAGCCCTCCACTGCAGCCGGACCTGAAGCCGGGTCCGGCTCTGACGTGGGGCTCACAGCGGGCGCCAGCTGGTCCGTGTGCTCTGTCGTGTCTGGGGAAGGAGGTTCAGTCTGGGGGGGCAAAGCCTCTTCTAGTGTTGAGGGCCCGGGGTCCGGTGGCTCTGTAGAGGATGTCTGAGGATCCTGCAGGGAGATGATGTGAGGTTATGGCACATACGCTGCATTCTTCACGTTGATTAACAACATGGTAGCAGAGGTTTATCTTTATACTGTCTGCACTCAGTACTACTGGGGTAGAACTAAAGTTTAAAAGACAAAACAGTGACAGGAGGATGCTAAGGAAGGAGGTCTGAGCTTATTCTGTGGTTCAACTAACTAAAACCATGGGTAGGTGCAGGATCCTCTGCAAAGGAACAGCGTGAACTACAGCTACAGGTGGATGAAAAAGGGTATAAACAGGAAGTGAACAGGGGAGCGCCCATCATCTTAAAACACTTACGATCAAGTCTCAAAGTGTACAGTTCGTTTTTGCTTCTGCAAAAGGCCATGCAGGAAACAGTGGGACAGAAGAAACGTGACAGGGCAGAATTAAAGAAACAGAACAGAAAAAAACAAAACACAGCAGCAACCAGACAATGGAAATATTTAAAAGTGATGAAAAAATAAAGTCAAGAAGAACTTTTAATGTCAGTGATTTGTAAAAATGGCTCATGGAGGAAGCAGTTCTACATACAGCCGTGCATGCTGAACAGACAGAACCGCTAAGCTACCTGTGGCTCTTTCTTGGGTTCTGGTGCAGGGTGGGCAGAGAGAAGTTCTGCAGGGGCATCATCTGGTATGGCCTGCAGGAAGTTGGAGGGGACTAACCCTCTGTGTCCATTCAAATCTCCCTGAAAGACACCAAAAGGATGTCATGTGATGAAATGCATTCTCCACAATAACTGTAACTGTCCCCAACACCCTGCTCCCTCCCAGTCTTGAGTTTTGTTGTGATGTTTTATCATGTTGCTGATGTGCTGAGGTGTCTTTTTTTTCCTAATCCCACACTGTACCCCCCCTAGAGGAGCCTAGTTTGGGAAATGCCTTTTTTCTCCCCTTCATTTTTCCCTCTCGTTTTCCTCTAATGACAAGGGGGCGGCGGTTAGGCTGGCGGACCCGACAGCTCCTGTCTCCCCCAGTTATTGTCTTTATGTTTCTTGGACGGGATGTAACTGTAAATGAAATTCCTCTGTACGGGATCAATAAAGGCTCATCTTATTCTTATCTTAATTAGATCATTGTTACAGAAGTATCAGAAGTATCCCGATGCTTACATCCATTGGAGAGTCTATCACAGAGCACTGAGGGTTTTTTTTAAGTTCCTTATTCATCATTGCATGTTCCAGTTGGATGATTTCAACATTCTTATTTTCTATTCTACACAATAATATTTTCAGTTTCTGTCACAGTGTTGGATTTTGTCAGAAGGGAAAGTGAAACCATCTATGAGTAAAACGTGTCCAGACTTTAGATCCCAGAGTCCTCTCAACACCTACGTAGAAGAAGCCGTCTTCGTCCATGTCACCAAACACATGTATGACGTCTCCTGCGCTGAAGGTCAGCTCAGCCTGAACAGACAAATACGGCAGATAATGAGCAAACAGTTACTGCACAAACAGCGGGAAGAAAAAAAGTGCAAGTCTGACCTCGATGTCAGTGTTGGGGGAACTTTCTCGTGGATCGTAATCAAAGATGGCGACCATCCTGCGAGCTCCTGGGGCTGGGTTCTCCACAGGCGCAGCAGCGGCAGCAGCAGCCTGGCTGGGATCTGTCAGTCAAACAGAGACGGGAAACTGTTCAGTCAGACATCCTGAAAATTACAGGAGCGAAACGTCTGCAGTTCCAATCAGCTCGTCAGCATGCAGCTCATCCTGTCTGCATGGGTCCCACTCACTCAGCCTCATGCTAAGCTGAGGGAAAGTCACACCACTGCAGTCAGACAAACCAGAAATCTAAATGAAAAAACAACAGGAGGTTAGCAGCGACAGTTAGCATTTTTTATTTCCATGACAGTGTCACAGCGGCCTGAGCGGCGCTGCAGTTTGAAACCTCAGTCAGAGCAAAATGTTTGTCATGGGATGAAGAATGCACGCAAGTCTTTGCAACACCGTTAGAGAAATGGAGACAAACAGAAATTATTAGATGATTTATTGATGCCATCTGAACTGTGAAATGAAAAAGAGGAGGTGGGGAAAAGGGACTGCTTGACATTTAGAACCGGGCGTCAATAAAGAACTTCAGTATGTAAGACATTAAGCTGTTTTGTTGGTCCTGATTTTAATCATCTCCAACTCAATGAAGGTGCTGTTTTCATTTTTTTTTCTCTTTTTGAGAGTGTTTTTTATAAATATCCAGATTCTAGGTTTGTAGGTCAGCTGGTTATTTGACTGGTTGACATCCACCTAAGTTCTTATTGGTTGGCTAATGGGTGTTACTTTCAAAAGGAGAAAACGGGAAAAGAAAGCAGCTCTTCTGGATAAATCCACTATTTTGGTGGCAGGAGGAACAGACTACCTACGAACACCCCCATGTTTTCACTACTTTGAACTTGTCCAACCTAACAGAGACAGCTAGGTCCAACCTATTCAAGACTGACTGGATGTTTACTCAGAATTGGCGCCAAATTAAGTGAAATCATGATAAAGAATCTCGCTGTGTGACACATTTTCAGAAATTGTAGAAATATGGGGCTGCAAGGTGGATCGGTGGTTAGCGCCGTTGCCTCGCAGCAAGAAGGTCACCGGTTCGCGTCCCGGTGAGGACACCCGGGATCTTTCTGCATGGAGTCTCCATGTTCTCCCCGTGTAGCGTGGGTTCTCTCCGGGTTCTCCAGCTTCCTCCCACAAGGTCCAAAAACATGTTGAGGTTAATTGGTGATTCTAAATTGTCCGTAGGTGTGAATGTGAGTGTGCTTGGTTGTCTGTCTCTAAGTGTAGCCCTGTGATAGACTGGTTACCTGTCCAGGTGAACCTGCCTTCACCCTGAGTCAGCTGGGATAGACTCCAGCCCCCCATGACCCTAGTGAGGATTAAGGTGTAGAGATAATGGATGGATGGATGTAGACAGCACACTGATCTATCATCTCAGTGTAAAATAACAAGGTTCAAATGATATCGTTAATCTAGAGATACCATGAAGATTTTTCCCCCTGCCACCAATCAGCTGGTTGAAGAGCAGATATGATTTCAGTCGGTGGACTACAAGCCGAACCAGATTCTTTAATATGCCCCAAATAATCAAACAGGCCCTAATAAGGATGGATGAAGGTGAGAAATTGTGTTATCAGCAGCCAGAATACATTCCTCAGGTTAATAATCATTAAAAAAAAAAAAAGAAATGCGAAATGACAACAAGTATATAAAGTCGTAGATGAACACATGCTGTGCTCCAGCGCACTGAGACGGTCGTCTGATCATGCAGATGCAAACAGAGAGGGAGGGGGGTCAAAGCGCTAAAAACAAACCTTGACTGGAGGAGTCTACGCTCTCCTCCCAGAGTGCTGCAGACTCCACTGGAAAGAGACGAGGGTGAGGGGAAAAGAGCATCAGCACAATCACAGAATAATTAGAGCCCCTGGCTGAGAATAATCCTGCCTGAAGTAGTATCATCACACACAAAGTCACAGGTGGAGATCAGAGGGGATGAATGTTTCAACAGGTGACCTTCAGGTGATCATGTAATTCATTTGTGACACAGGAGCAGGATGCGGGGAAGAGAACGTCGTTTGAGATTATCAATCGATTAGCGACATCCCGCTGCTGTATCTTCGATGTATTACATGAATATCCAATGACAGGACTCAGTACTCATGTATGCGACTTTTAACATTTGCGAAGTTGTTGCACAGGTGTTACCGACAAAATCTAAATCATAAAACAGTTGGAAGGATGTCTAAACAGCCTATAAGCACTAAGGAAGGAAGTGCAACACTAGGCTTTAATTATAGAAGCTGAAACTACTTCACATGACCAACACATCATAGTAATATTTGCCTACAATGCTGGGAAGTTGACTGATTTCGTCACTACAGCGGACGGCCTAAAAATCCCCCCTGCTCGCTGGGTGAGAAGCGGCAACTGAAAGAGCAAAAATCTAAAGTGAAAGAGACAGAAAGAGAAGCAAACCAGAGAGGAGAAGAAAGGAGAGAGGTGGGAAGCCGCAATCTGCAGCGAGACACACCTTTCTTGGATCGTCTCGGTTTCGGCGGTGGAACAGGGCGACGTGGAAGCTGTGCGTGTGTGCGAGTGCCTTAATGGAGTTTTAAGAAAGGAAAACCAAAAATAATAATAAAAAGAACAGAAAAAATGAAACCAAAAAGAAACACAGGTGTGATTAAGAGAAGCAGACCAGACAAAGTAGACAATGAAAAAGCCAGCGAAGAGCAAATTTAAACAAATGACAACCGGTGAGCAGCGGACACAGCAGTGAGGACGAGTGGAAGTGAAAAAGGTTAAACCATCTGCAAATACCGCTCTGGGTAGAAAGCAGGAAACAGAAGCAAAGTGTTAGCTTGATTCTGCTGGGTGGCGTGCTGGCGTGTGCCACAAACACTTTGACTCAGTCAGTGACTAAGATTATGTAGATGGTTATAATTTCCTTCATAGCAACACAGTGCACAAGAAACCACATTAAAAGAGACGCCAGATTAAAATTTTTGGGTTTATTTTGATGAAGCTCAACCCAGTGTGATCTCTCCTTATAGAAAAAAGAAGGAGATTGTAGTTTTCTTCCTCTAGATGTGTTTGTCTTTTAAGGATTTCCTTCAGTAAAACTACGACAGTGATGAGCCAATGTGTGTCAAAAGTCTAATGAAGAATATTGGATATTTTAAATCCAAAATTCACAACAGGGGATTCTGTAACACTTGTGCTGCTATTTTCACTTACCACTTCAACATAAACAGCGGTGACATTATGGATAAAACATTTTGCATTTACAGTAAAGGACGTCAAGCTGTACCCGCTTTCAACGCGATATAAGCAACACAGAATTTGGCACTTTGACTGGATGCGGCACATACCTATCTTGTCCATGGAGGCTGCTGCAGACAAGAAGCCCTGCTGCAGTAGCTGCAGTCGGGTCTCCTCGTCCTCCACCTGGATCTCTGACACCATGTTGCATGGAACGTAGCCCAGACGGCCGCCGGACTCCCCTCTGTAGAACCCGTCTGCGTCTTTATCTCCGTAAACCTGGGGAGAGCAGATTGGCAGTATGTGTAAAAAAAACAAAAACCCAAAAAACAAGCAAACCAAACAAACAAACAAACAAAAAAAAGTTGTTGCACTTGTTGGACACTAGTTTCATCTATTTACTGATGTGATGGCTTCTCGGCCTGACAACATGGATCACAGTAACAGAAATGCTACATCATGACTTCTGAGGGGACTTTTACATCCATGTAATATCTCTGTCTCTAATATGTTCAGTACATAAGTGAGTCATCCCTGTGCAATAGCACTTAAAAGCCACATTATTCTAAATTGAATCACGCATCGTAACTGCATCAAGTTTAACAGGATATTTGCTCGTTTGTAAAATTCAAAACCAACATTTAGATTCACTCTGTCAAAAATACAGCTCCTACAGAAGGAACAAACGTCAGAGCACTTTTCATTACTGAGATTCAAAGGCTCTTTACAGTACTTCATCTGTCCTCATATATTTTTAAGGACAGAATTGAGCTGCCTGGACATGGGGGATCCCAGTGTTGCACTAACTTGAGATGCTTTGCTATTCTTCAGAAAGGAGCCATAGTTTTCACTTTGTTCTTCTGTAGAAACTCCTGCGTAACTTTAGCAGTGTGCTTTGGATTGTTATCATGCTGGAATTATCCTCTCCTGCTTAGTTTCTACAGACTGGGAGTCGTCATGTCAGCTAGTATTTTAGTATATCCACAGGTATTCTGTCTATAAATGTCATCTCCCCAACAACTTTTGCCCTCATTCAGCCCCATAACGCCACACTCCCATGTCGGCGCTTCACTGTCAGCACGATGCTGTTTATCACTGTGGTAGTCCTGAACAAAGAGACTGGAACCAATCAGAGCCAAACAAATATATCTTGGTCTCATCTGACCAAAGAATGTGCTCTCTATATTCATTACTTCATTTTCAGGAGCAAAGTCTTGCAGTTTTGTATTGTCGAGCAGAGAGGGATGTTTTTCTTTGGTGCCATCCATAGAGGCTGATGTTCTGCAATGTCCCTCACACTGTCTTAGCCGTCATACAAGCTCTGATTTCCATTGATAACCCTTTGTCAAGTCTGAAGCAGCTGCCCGTCTGTTTGTTATTTTGAGACTGAGCCAGTAGCAGACTGTCCGTGGCGTCACTTCAGGAGGACAACCGCTGCAGCTCTGATTATTGGTACTATGGTTTGTTCTTTACCTCCTGATTACTGCTGCAACTCTATTTCAAATTACTTCTATTTGGTGACTTGTCTTTCTATCCTTTTTTTTCCATACTTGTGATCTCTCACATTCAGATTTTCTGATCCTCTATCAATTATTTTCCACATGGAGTTAAAAACAAGGCAAATATTACGAGGTGACACCATTTACCATCAACTATTTGACATTTAAATAATATTGCACAGGGGTTACTCACTTCAGTTTCATGCTGTATTAAATGTATGTATATGTAGCCTACAAACAGGACGCCAACATGATAAGTTGAGACTGAACTATATGTCTGAAACAGGACTAATCAGGAACGCTTCAAATCAAAAAGCATGCATGGTTGTCAGTGACAGAGTTGTGTGCAGACCTACCTTGATGATCTGTCCTTCAGTGAAGGGCAGCTCCTCCTCAGCAGCGTCAGGATTGGGTGACATGCTGGCAGGATCATATGGAAAGAGGGCTACGAAGATGCGTATGTCACTTTCTGCTTTCATCTTTGATGATTCAACACCACCTGTAGACACACACACACACAAACTCGTTAGCTACCCTGCAAACATACACTTGGCAAAGGGTTGGTATGATTAAATGATGCCTGCGGTGCTTAGGTGACTCGGCTTCACACATCTGTGCTTGTCATAAGAGTATTGCTTAAATTATGGGTTCCATATTAAAGTACAATTTGAGAATATCTTCCTTATGTGTAAGAAGTCTCTTACAGTAAATAAGAATGGAAAAATCTAATCATGCATAAAATCATTTTCATTATTTTATGGGTTGTTGTTTTCATGCAATTCAGTTTATACGATTTAAAAACAATCATTATTATTAATATTACAATGACTACCATTATTTCAACCCAACAGAGTTTGCATAGAAGCCGTGTTTAGCTCACAGTGAACTCTGCAAACGGTATAACCAGCCTGCACCTCCCCCACCACTCAGCAACTGCAGTGCTGCTATGAGCAGTGTACGCCCGGCACAGGCCTGTCCTTAAAAGAGGTAATCAAGCTAAACCACTGATCCTAAGCTGCGTGAGCCGTTTGACAAACGTGCACTCGTTCATGATCTGCAACCGCGCAACAGCGGAAACAGTGTTTGACCCACTCTTTAGTCTAAACCTGAGGACGTTTGCTCACAGCACAGCCACAACCCAGCATAAAAAAAGAATATTATAAAAGGTGCTTTCAGTATGCGACATGACACCGATCACGTAAAGCAGCCTATGGATTGTAGCTGTAGCTGTGTGTGGAGCATAGCAGACATGAAGAATGACATCAGTGTGATTAAAAGCACTGCGAGTGTATCCTATTTACCGGCAAGAGACAAATTTGAAGAGCTGTAGTGAGGGTTTAAGCTGCACTCAAGAGACGTGTTCTCTATCTCATTAGGGGGAATCAGCCCATCTGTGGCAAGAGTCACGGGCAAACGCCTTGCACACTTTCACATCCTCACAGATTTTCTAGTAGATAGGGCAGAACTTCTCACTGCTCCCTTCCGCTATCTGTGCACGTGTACACTTGTGCATTCACTCAACTGTGCATCTATACATACACCACAAAGGCTGTGCTTACTAAATACCTTAGAGTGTGTGATATGTGGACAGATGAGAAGAAAAGAGAAGAGAAGTGGTGGGGTTCGTACGCTCAAGCTGCAGGCTGTTTCTTTGCTGGCTAATCGAAGTTACTATTTTAATGTCTGTCACTTCCTCCTGTCATGACAAGCCACTTTGGGTTAAGCCGGTTCTCAGCTTAGCAGGCTCTCTCCCACTTCTCTACTGTAGCTACAGCACCTTCTTCTCCCTGACTCCCCCCCTCCCTTCCTACACAAGGTGCTAATCTGACTACCTTCATGTGAGAGAGGGCAAAGCTTGCCAACACAAACCGCAGGTGTGTCAGCATCGCCCCGTACATTACTGCTGCAACTTTTGGTTCAGAAGGGGAAAGCAACGAGAAAGAAAGGAAGCACAAAGATGAAAGAGAGGGGGGAAAAAAAAGCCTTTGACCTTTGAGTTGCCTGCTCTGCAAGCATGCTGGTTTACAAGAAATCTCTGCCTGGCCTCCCCACGATGGACCTGCCTCAACTGGAGGGATCTGGCTGGGCTCCTGCTCAAAACGCAGAAAGACAAATACGACAATAAGGACACACAGAAACACACTCAGGCAGAGAGGAAAAAATGAACATGAAAAGCAGTTGTTACTTACAAAAAAACAAATCTAATTATCTGCTAATTCTTGAACTGCTAACCTCATCAAACACACTAAACTCCGGGGTTTCCTACATGCCACTGTTGCAACTAAACATGGTTCTCTTTTGCATTGTGGTTGTATTAGCACACACACACACACACACATACACACATCAGAGCACATCGGCTGGAAGGTAAAGCAGGACAAAGCTGTGCTGAGTAGTTTAGGACAAGAGCTGAGGGGTTTCCAAGAATGTGCAGGAGAAATTAAAGGGAAAACAGGAGCTGGTGCAGTCAGAAAGAGGGAGGACACAAAAAGATCAGAGAGTGGTGAACTGGTTTAAATATTCTGGAGTCACTTCTGGCCGCATCTCATCCAACACACCGTTACTACATCATTTACTGTATTCATCTTTAACAACAGTCAAACGTGCTCCCTCTGTCCACTGCAGTGATGATGTGGTTGAGTTATGGGATATCCACTAAATGACTCAGAGGGGTAAATCCACACAGCTATGGGGGGAGGAGGGGGCTGGGACAACACACCCAACCATGATGATGTTTACCATTGGATCAGCTTTTGGCCCTCGGCGGTGCGGAGGTCTGCAGTGCTCCACTTTAGCCCCCTCCACCCACCACTCAGAGCTCATTTGTTCCACCATCACCTCCCCGGGGATGTACTCCATGGGCTCCTCGTTGTCATCTGTACCGTACTCCACATCGATCTCCACCCCGCGATTAATAGGTGACCTCACAGTCCGTACTGTTTTGCTGACTGGGTAGGGTCTTGGCGGGGGAAGGCCATGGCCAGGGCTGGTCAACGCGGCGACAGCCATCTGACTCCTTAGCATGGCCTCCCTCCTAAGGCGGTCCCCTAGCCCTCGAAGCAGTGATTTGCTGTTGTGGGTCAGCTGGGGAGGACAGCGGGTTACGACCCGCCTGCTGGTGGGACCCTCATATAAACTCAGGTCTTCTTCAGGATAACTGATGGTGTCCACCGTGTCTGCATAGTGCACCCTGTGCTGCGTCTTAGGCTTGACCTGCAAGGGTCCGTGTTTGAGTAAAGGCTCTTTGGTTAGGGATCTGGGATCCCAGTTAAAGTGGTGATGGTGAGGGGGGACGTGTGGGTTGGGGTGATGTGTGTGATGCTGGGGGGCATGATGGAGGCGTTCTGGGTCTCTGGGGTGAAGGTGGCGGGGCCTTGGCCGAGGCTGGCCGCGGCGGCCTGAGGGGTCTTCCTGACTGCTGTCTTCCTCTTCTGTGACCTCGGGAATGCTGAACAGCTGCTTGCCTTGGGGAATCTGAGGAGGCAACTTAAGGATCTTTTCAAGAACCTCCTCGTCACTGTCTGGTGGGTCCAACTTGCACGACTGCATGTGCCACAATTTAAAGCAAGCGGGAAAGAATCGGTGACGGTGGGACGAAACATTATATTGTTCAGTGAAAAACACAGGAAGTGCAGACAAAACAACCCGGCCATGCAAAGGAAAGAGAAAAGAAGGAGGAAGAAAAAACGAACAAGAATCACAATCAAGAATAAAGAATAAAGAAACAAAGACTCAAAATGAGAACTTAACTATGGAAGACAAACTCAAAAGAGCGTAATTCATGTAAAAACTAGAACATGACAGTATGTAGTAGTGGACGCTAGTATGCGCTCATTTCTTTACCCTGTTAGCTCCAACCGTGTATCCTCTGGCTGGTGCTTCTCCTAGGTGGTCAGAGTAAAGGTCCTCCTCCTCCTCCTCCAGGATGTCAGACAGGTCCGAGCGGCTGTTGTCTGCATGGTAGTCGGTGGGAGGCTCCACAAGCCCGCTGCCATAACTCTGAGAAAACATAAAAAGCAATAAATCTGTTAAATAAAGTAAGACAGATAAATATAGATGTACTTGCAGAACTACTTACTTAAATGTTTATAACACTAAGTTTTGCTATACCCTCATTGGCCCCACGCATTTAAGAGAAAACTTAAATAATAACTGAATTGTCTAAAATATGATGCAGAAGTAATACATTTCTATGATTTAGGCTTTTTTTCAACATGTGAGAAAACTAAAACTTAATACTAAAAACTTAGCATAATCCAAATAATCAGAATAATAAATAAAAAGCATAATTTAAAGGGGAAATCTACCAATTTTACAAATCAAAGTCTGTATATGTTTGCAAAGCCTTTTGTGGCTCCAGAGACAGGTGAACAAAACCTGACAAGTCATTGTTAGTTGGGTTTGAGATGAAAATTGGAAACATCCGAGGGTGTGGAGAGCAGTGAGCTCTGCAGCTCATGCCTCATCTGTTCCTAATGCTACATGAGCTGTCACCAGCATAAGAAGCCAGGAAACTCTGACCAAGTTGTTGACGGATGAGCGCAATAGTAAAGTAGTGAAGTAAATGTTCTCCTCCTTCAGAGCTGATAAAATCAACCAACTGAAGAGCACTTATGACATTTCCTCAGGTCAACAACTAATCAAATAGCTGAACATAAACATAAAATTTTACACTCCAAACTCCACTGGCCGGTTTAAAAGGTGTTATCTTTTAAAAATCGCCAAATTTTAACCATTTATTAAAGCCAGAAGCTTTAAAAACAAAACAAATCAGAGGTCCTTGAACTAGATGTGCTTCAAAATAGACTAAAATTAGTCAAAAATGAACCGTTTGCACCAGATTCTATCAATAAACTTCTACACTTATTTCCCCAGGGTGTCATTCAATCAGGGCTGACCTGCATCCTAATACAGTACACCGGCTCTTGGTCCTGCCTCAAGAACTCCTCGATGGACACCAGGCGGGTGTTCTCTCGCTCCTCCTCTACCTCTGACTCCAGTGGCGAAGTGCTGAGGGGTCGCAGGAGGTTAATGTCCTGAGGGTTAAGGAGGTCTGTGATCGGGGCTTTGGGAGGGGTAGGGATGCGCTCAGGAGTCCCGAGCTTGGCACTGGGGTCCTCGATGAACTCCGTGATAGACGGGAACGGACGGATTGTTCCGGGGCTGTCGGTGTCTCTGCGCTGATCCAACACGGGTGCTGCTGCCATTACTGGTGTTTGTGGAGGCGCTGGTGTTGCTACTGGAGACAGTGGAGGCGCTGAGGCGATGGGGGAGGTCACATTTACCTGGAGATAGCAACAAGAAAAAAAAAAAAAATGCTGTTTGAATATAATAACTTTCTGGAGCACAGATTTTCAGTCTGACAAAACTGAGATGAATGTACGTACAACTGAGCTAAAAAGAAATAGTGAGGTTTGGCCTTTCATATATGAGAGGGTGACAGAGTGAAGCTCACCACTGGAGTAACGGGGGAGGCTACTGGTAATGTGGCCTCACACACAGCCAAGGCAGCAGCAGATGAGGGGTTGGCCCAGGCCTTCACATACGAGGCAGATGAGAGAAGATCTTCTGAGTGGAGAGCATTGGACGGGTTGGCAGCAGCCTCCTCGGTGAGGCCAGTGATATGTATGTCTGATGGCAACGGGCTGGGCAGCATGGAGACTTTGGCAGCAGAGTTTCCGTAGGATGGCGATAGGGGCAGGATACTGGGACCTACTGGGGTGCAGGGCAGCGGTGGCACAACTGGGGTGGTGATAGCTGGGCCTGCCATGATGGCAGCCAGCTTGCAGGGCACATTTACTGGCAAGGAGTCACAGGACTCCCCGTGGGCGGACATGGTGCGGACAGTGAGCTCCTGAGCTGCCTGCAGGGACTGGATCTGAGAGGGGCCCAGCAGGGCACTGCCAGCAGTCGGGGAAGACACCTCCAGCACCTGAAACAAGAGAACAATAATATGTAACACAAACATTAGAACTCAATACCTGCTTAGAATTTAGCCAGAAACAGACAAATGCATGCTAATTTCTGCTTTACTGAAAGAAAAGAGCTCAGCAATAAAAAAAGGTAAATCCTTGCCTTTTTCTTGTCGGCATATATAGTGTATCCGGTGACACGAACTCCATTGGAGGTCCCAGCAGCATCTATAGTGACGGGCAGCCAGCTGATGAGAGCAATGCCTGGAGAGGGACCATGCTCCAGCTGTACATCCAGAGGAGCATCAGGGGGGCCTGCAGCGGTTAGAGGCATCACACCGCAGCCAGTGGAAAGCAAAACATAAAGAAATATGTTTAAATATTAACACAGGGCGGGGTGAGTTGCTTATAGTGAAACTACGCTTTGTGGGAGGAGTAATGCTAATCATGTAAGACGTATGATTCTACCAAGAAAGCTGTTATCTACCACTCTAGGGGGAAATTAAGAAATTTAGAAACCATATACCTGAGCTTCCAGACTGTGGGCATGGAACTTAGGCAGATTTAAAGGATCGTTTAGTGAAATACAACTTCAATCTTATATCACACTAAATATAATTACACATCTCACATAAAATCAAATTAAGATTAAAAACACTGATCAGCATCAATGACTCCACCAAGATACTGTGTATAGCTTATTACTTTATATCACTACCTATTTACAACAGATTTGATTCTTTCATTCTCCCCGTATGCCACACTCTGATGCTGTGCTTTTCCACAGGGAAGACAAATATCAAACAAATGTGCAAAGTGCCAACCTACCACAACAATATAACCCTTCCTCTGTAGTCATTTCATCAGTACCAATATTTGATCAGTAGTTGTGGCAGAGGATAGTATCTAACTACTTTGCCTCCATTTACAGCACAGCATGCTGTGCCAGAGTGCTTTGGATATTTAATAATGGAAATGTAATTCAGAGCAGCTCTTAAAAGTGCCTCTCATGAATAAACTGATGTGACAGAGGAGGAGGGGGAGAATCAACACTACTGAATATGAGATATCCTAAAAAAAGAGCTGCTGCACATCGGGGCAGTGAACGGTGGCACAGGACCAGCAGTAGAACACAAAAACTGTTCGGCTATGAGAAGAGTTGTCTGTAGAATGTAGCTGTCAATTATACCAACAATCAATGTCTATAAAATGTCAGTGACTCACACCACAGACTTATGTGCACAAGGTAAGAAATACTATTCTTTTAAGGAAGGCAGTCACAACATATCTACACAAAGTGTAGTTAAGCTTCTGAGCATGATCTTGGATCTCTGTCTGAGACCCACACAAACACTCGAGCTGACACGTGAAACTAAAACGACTAGAATAGATTTGAAGTCGATGATACGAGTTCAGACAGTCGATAATAATTTAACTGGGGTTTTGTTTTCCACACTGATCAAATAAATTTAATGAAAAAGTGTTCAAATCCCTTCATCTGACTCAAACATCTGAACCAAACTGAACCTTGCATGTTGGGGAGAAACTTGCTGATTTATCATCTACAGACTGTTTGTCAGTGTAGTTAGCATGGCACATTCAGAGAACATCTGACAGATAAAATACTGAATCCTGACCTGCCATCAGTGTGTTGAAGGTGATTGTAGCGCTTCTGTGTTCACGTCGCTCCACAGGTAACTCCCATGGCGTGCGATGCGGCCGCGCCTCCACTTTGACTGTGTACTGCAGGCTGGGCAAGAGGTTATTGAGGCACAGCGAGTAGCAGCCAGCCTTTACCAGCTCACACTCCTCCTCATTCAAGGACACAATGTGCACATAGTTACTGTTGCTGGGCAGCCAGGTCAGGTTGGCAGAGGTGGCGGTGACCCTCTCCACACGCAGCTGCGTGGGCGCCACGCAAACATCCCGACCGACCAGCAGGGTGCAGCGGAGCTGGTCAGAGAGACCCTTCTCTGTCAGGCTTTGCACTGACACACGGTAGGCCTTGAGGTTTATGTCTAGCCGCTCCAGCACCGCTTTGGTCTGGGAGCCGAAGGGCACATTGAGCCGCAGCTCCTGGTCCACATACACATTGTAGCTCCACACATTGCCCCACCCAGCCGGCACCAGCGGAGGGTCCCAGCCGATGATGATACTCTTGGCAAGCTGCTTGATGAGGGTGAGCTTACGTGGGTAAGGCACAATGTCCACTCCCACCTCCTCCAAATCCAAGTCCAGGCCGTTGGTGAGGGGGGCTGGGACAGCCAAGGCCGATGCTGAATCTGAGGCGGCTGAGGCAGGGCCAGAGGCAGCAGTGGCCTCTGTCCTTTCTGAGGCGCTGACGCCCGTGTGGAGGTGATGCTGGTGGCTGGCACTGTGCAGGCTGCTGTCTAGCAGGGAGTTATGGGACGCGTCCACTGTCTCTGGATGGTGACTGCTCATTACATCGTCGTCCGATACCCGTTCCACAAAGTTAGAGGGGACCAGCCCTCTCCTTCCATCCATGAGCTCTCCTGAAAGGAGCCACAATAAAATACTGAGCATCATGTGCAGTCAGAGACATGAAGCTGCTGATACAAAATCTGATATCAAACTCCACATTTACCTTCATAGAAGCCGTCATCATCCATGTCACCGTACACATAGATGTATTCTCCAGCGGTGAGAGGCAGCTCCACTTCAGGGTTGTCATTGGGGCCATCATAAGGATTATAGCTGTTGCAGAGTGAATTTGCAATGAAATTATATTCATCACATATTAAACTGTTGCTGTAGTGAGTCGACTCTTGCATTAGTTTAATCCTTACCTGTATCTTGCAATAAAAACCTGAAGCTTTGCTGCTCCTCTGCTGGCTGTGTAAGGTGCCGGGGCAACGTCAATGTCCAACTCTTCTACTTCACTGGCAGTGTCCACCTGAGAGACGGTGAGGTGACAGAAGTTTTCAGAAATCCAGCATTATTTGTGAAAAAACATTAAAGAACTAATAAAATAATAAAAACAACAGTGAGGGGAAACAGTGATGAACCTGAAAGGTTACTGAACTGCTGTTAAATTACTTGAATGAACAGGTGTCATACTATAAGAAATTCAGGATCAAATGATACTTGGTGCAATTCCATTTCATTTAGCAGACGCTTTTATCCAAAGCAACATCTGAGAGTAGATACAACACGAGCAAGGATCTAGTCAGACACACCGAGGATGCAGCCTGATACAGCAGTCTTTAAGTAAATCCTTCTCCTTTAGTATGAGTTGACACTATTTCAGACACGTCTTGATTCAGCTGTTTGACCTTTTTGGAGGCTGTTTCAAATATTTTGTCAACCCCATTAAAATGTCCTTAGTGCAACCTATTAACCTTTATTTCAACATTGAAGCTTAATTCTAGCAGAAGATAACATCAAGTTTTCTGCTAGATGAGTGCATGTCTTACACGTGTGATATCACTTATACAAATTATCTTGAACGGACATGAGGTAAAGGTTCAGAAATGACTGTAGAGGAAATCACTGCATTTTACGATAAGTGACTTTTGGTACTTTTTACTGGAAGCAACAGGAAAACAGCTATCTATGTTACAAACTGAATTACAGAGGCAGGTAATACTAAATATAACATGCTTTATATTGTTACATGGTGATTAATACGAAGGAGTCACAACTGAAAATAAAGAATCACCTTGGTAACTGATGTGGAGTTTCATTCATACCAGCTACACACAACAAGACAAGATGCGTATTTATAGTCGCCTGGGAAAACCTTTTTAAGGATAATCACCTACAACTACTACTGTATAACCTTCATAATCCACAGTGCAGAGTGGATTATCTCACTAAATATGAGCTTTGTTTAACTGTAGGCAGACTAGTGACTGGATGGAAAGACCACCGACCCATCTGCCTCACAAGACCAGACACTGACTGTATGAAGAACAGAAATACTTTAATGTATATGAGAAGAAGAAGCTGTTGCATATTCAGTTACAGTTAGGACTTGCGTGAGATGACGGTGAGGTTAAGGAGGGCATTTTAATCCATTCAGTCCACAGAAACAATCGTGCATGAGTGTCTTAGTAATCTTGATGACTAATCTGACTGCCTGTGTAGAAACGAAGGAGGAAGAAGAGTTGCCGGGAGGCATCTTGCACAATGACGCAACCTGAATGAATATTAGGCGACCAAGGGGGCATTTTTATTAATCAAACAACTAAGGCAGGGTAGAGGAGAGAGTAGCTCATGATATGATACTATTACAATATGTTTACTATGATAATGATGACGGTATCATGACACAGCAATCCTGTGATATCTGATATATGACAAGACGATCATACAATATCTGTGTAACTTAAGGAAGAAAGATAGTCCTAAAAAGGCAAAAAGCAGGACTTATTCACTGGAATGTGGTGTTAATGTGTGTATGCACTGTATTATCATTATTATTATGTGTCAGTTCCAGTAATGAGCTCTTTGATTTGCTTTCCTGTACTAAGTTAGTTAGCATCCGTTTTCTTGCAATGGAAATTTATTGTCTTGATATAGCCTGATAGTAACTTGTTAGCAATAACATATATGCCTATAGTGTCTTTGTGTAACCCAATGTTTTAGCTCAAGAGGTCATTCTTAGGCCACAAGGTTCCCAACAGTGAAGGTGCTGTGACCTTCTACTTCCCTGCTCAGCAGAAAGGTTTTTCTGATAACTGGCAGCTGCAGGATGTTTTGCACCTCGGCTTTCGTCTCCTCTTCCTCCCTTTTCTAGGATCTAATAACGGTCTTTGTTCGTTTCACACAGATATCTCTGGTCACATACACACCCCCTCATGCTTGTTAGGATTATCCTGTCTATGCCTACATACGGCTGCACATCGTGACCAAGTTTCACTCTGCAGTTCTCATGTAAAGTGATTTCTCTTGTGCACAATAAAGGAAGAAGCAACGATCTTGGTCAAGTGTGTTCATTATGTTACAGCCTCCGCGACACACTTTACCCTCATTCAGTTGATAAACGCCACCACCAGTAGTCAAGTGGTGGGGGAAGCCATGTAGAGGGCCTGCATGTGTTGCATAAATATTGATATTTGCTGCCAGTGTATCTATGATGTATCGCAAGAGGAAATGATGTATATATGAAATATTGCCATGTTAAAATTCTTTCCCACCCCTACTCCAAATGAACCCTCATCGACCCATCAAATGCTAGCATAGCCAAGCAGATACCAACAGTGGCCAATAGTTTACAGATGTAGTAGCCATATTAGTAAGGGTATGAAAAACACAAATTAAAGGCGTAGCTACATATTGTGTTGTAGTAACAACATGTAAATGGTAAATAGTCTGCACTTGACATCTCATTCACCCATTCTTAAACCAATGGCGACAGAGCTGCCATGCAAGGTGCTGCCTGCCATTGGGAGCAACTTTGGGTTCAGTGTCTTGAACACTTCGACTGTGGAGGGGCGCGGGATCGAACCGACAACCTTGCAATTGGAAGACAACCCCCTCTATTACCTGAGTCACAGCCGCCCTAACATGTAATGATCAAACTGTGTGCTGTGTGGCAGAACAGTAATCACAGATCGCCACTGAAGTCATATAATTACCCCAAAAATGTCAATCTCATTGTAAATACCACTGCAGCCCTGATGGATAATGAATAAAGACAGTTAGTGATGCACTGTCCATCCTTATTGCTGGTACCTCATGTGTTGGGCTTGATTTGTGCGGACTGAGGTGGGTGTCGGACTTGGGGGTGAGGTGTGTGGTCTCCGACTTGCTGGAGGAAGAGCCTGACTTGCTGACGCTGATGGTGGGCAGCTCTCGGTGCTTGGTGACGGGCGAGCGCTCCACCCTGGACAGCCCTGCAGCGTGGGGAGTGGCCCCCATGCGCAGAGCGGCGGCCACATCTAGCAGGAGAAAAGGGAAAAGGATAATCCGTGAGTTCAGTGGACAACCCCGGCCCTCTGTCTGGATAACCTGGTTGAATCCGTGAGCTGCGAGGTGGGGGAGGTCACGGGTTGACATGCAGAGGGCTCAAGGTTGAACGTGGCTGATTAAACAGTGGAGGAGGGAAAAAAAAAAAAATCCTGTCTCCATCTGTCTGAGGTCAGAGGTCACGCTACCTTGAGGCAACGAGTGTCACACCAGCACTGTTAAGGGGCTTAACTGGTTCCACGTACATTTCAGCCCACGAGCACTGACCCTCATGTGATGGCGAGAAGTACATACAAGCTCTGTAACAGCGCTGGACTGTTACAGTGACGGTGCGGGTGAGATGACAGGTCGGAGCATGCCGTGCTTTAGTGACAGCGTCCAACACATTTAATGAGCAACGGAGACGGACAGCGTACCGAGCGGATCGTTACCCTCGGGGCAGGAGAGAGAGTCACCTCCCTCAAGACTCCAGAAGGCTATTTCACCCAGGGACACCATATCCCATGAGCCACCTGTGCAGTCTAAAACACATGAACAGTGTGGGAGAAAGAGGTTGGACACATAGCGGAGGAAAGATTTTGGCTAGATTTGCACTGTTTTTACATTTCAGGCAGGTGTGGCTGGAGTTACATTATAATGGATATCTTGTAAATATCACTTTTTATCACACAGGTTGTGCCAAACTCACATCACATATACACTGAGGCAGGGGTGTCCAATCCTGGTCCTCGAGGGCCACAATCCTGCATGTTTTAGATGTTTCCTTCTTCCAACACACCTGATTCAAACGATCAGCTCATCATCAAGCTCTGCAGAAGCCTGATAACGATCATTTGAATCAGGTGTGTTGGAAGAGGGACACATCTAAAACATGCAGGATTCGAGGACCAAGATTGGACACCCTTGCACTAAGGAGATACACTGCTATTAAAAAATATTAAACTTCACTTCATTTATGCTTGCTGTTTAAAAGAAAACTGCAGTCAATAATGAAAATCCCTAAAAAAAAAAAAAAACTGCTCTGAAAGAGAGCATCCCTGGTGGGATGGTTTAAAAATGGATTTGGATGCTTTTGAAGGCATTTTGCAATTTCCTTGTTCTGCATTTCCCGAGCCATTCTTTGTGTCAAAGGTCAATTCCTCTTTTTGTGAGAAGATTTCTTTCAAAAACAAAACCACAACCTTGTACTATGGGTTGGCAATAATTTAACAGATCATCCTGAAACAAGGCAGAAGAAGGAAGACTGACTTTATTTCTGTGTTCTGGGTCATAATTTAGATAAAATACAATGTTACTGAAATTGTTGAATCACTGACATTTGTATTTGATCATTTGCAAATGTTTAGTGATTATATAGGAAAGCAGTTTTTGGATGTTGTAAAATAAGTACATCAAATAACTACCTCAAGAAAAAACACAACTAATCCACCGACTAATCGCAGTAAGAAACCGATCATGATCAAAACCCTTCAAGCTGCTCACCTCGTTCAGTCGTCAGGCCCACCCCGTTGGTCAGAACAGAGAGGCTGGGGTTGTTGAGGAGGCTAGAGCTGGCCAAGTCCACCTTCGAGGCCTGCAGTCGAAACTTCTCCAACTCTTGGGACAGCAAGCCAAACTGTTCGCTCTGGCTGCGACATTTCTCCTCCAGCTCTCGTACCTTTGACTGCACGCGAGGCATAACGGACATGGAGAGCATGTATCAGTGAAAACACAGCACTGAACAGGCAGAATCCACCTTTTAACACTGACTGTTAGGATATCATCATCATCATCATGTGATAAGACTGACTGTGTGATATCTGAATGATTTTACCGTCATGTGCTTGTATACACACGTAAACAGATAACTAAGCTAGTTGGGTAGTATGTGAATGCAGTGGCATGTGTTTTAAGGTGGATTTCTACTTTAGTCTGTCTTGTGGAGGGATCTAACACTGAGCATGAGCAAAAGTAACCTTCATAAATAGTTAGTGTCGTGCAGAAACCTTTTGCCTACACAGCTTATTACATGATAAGCATGGGAATGTTTTCTAGCATTGATGGCCACACTTTGGATGCTTCACATTTTAAATATGAACCTATGACTGCTGTGGTGGGTGGACAAACGGAACAACACAGTATGTACAACAACAACAACAAAGCAACACAGTGTAAGGTTAGGTTTCTGCAAGACAGACACGACAAACTGTCAATGAAGCATTTGTTTTAAGTTGCAAACACAAACGACAGAGAATTACAGGTTCAGTGGGGGGGAAAAAAAGCAGAGGGGCAGTTTTCTGATGGGAAACAGGTGTAAGAAGTTGGCAGGTTGGCAGGGCTTATGAGATGTTACATGTTTTTTCTTTCTTACACTTGCTTGAGTTCCCTCCAACAAAGCCACTAGACAGCAGGGTTATTTGTCAGAACACTACAGAGGTCTCTCTCTCAGCCCTACTCAGTTTCTATATGTGGCTGATTTCACTTCCGGTTGCGGTGGGAGTTTCCTGGCAGGCTGATCTGACAAAAGCCTCTGCACGAAACTGTCTGAACAACATTTCCTGTTAGCTCTCACCTACGCAAACACGAGTCTGCAGTCAGACGTTATCTAGCTACACTGAGGTGAGGTGGCAACGTGCACTAAAACACTAAGAAAAATCACTTATGAATCTTAAATAAATGCTGTCGTCGTGCCACTCAGGGATGAGTTGCATTTCTGTGTACGATGAAACAACATGATAAAGGTGGTAAGTGTCCTCAGTGCAGCTGGGAGTGATAACTGTGTCACACTGTTATCTGGCCTCATGTGAATGACCTGATTTACACACACTTTGGTAACCTACAAAAAAAAAAAGCATCAAATGGGTTGCTGCTCTCACATGAAGCATTTTTGAAGAGCTGTTTTACAACAAGCACTGCAGGGTTGTTACTGATGCTTCAGATTTAACTGCCCATATAAAACACAAATGATGTTCAAGCTTAGATCATTTCTACCAACTGTGGTTTGGTGGTTCTATCTACGGGGACTGGGGTAAGTTTTGAGGAAGGAAGATAAATTTATTGGGCCCAGGAGGTTATGAAGTACCTGCATGCAGTCCAGCGTACTCTGGTTAGCAAAAAGATAACACCAGGGACACACAAAAACAAACACATGCTCGTGAAACAATCAATCTGGGAAAGACAAAATATATTAATAAAGCAGAAACACAGCAGTCTGAGTCCAGGTTGGCTAGAAAATCCTCTCAGAAGCCAGAATCACTAGAACGTCTCTTGGCCCTCGTGTGCAGTCAACGCCTGCCGTTTAAATGAACTCACGCATTCTTTATAATCTTCCAAAAAACGTGCTTTTAACAGATTGAGAGAGGCTGCGTGTTGACTTGGCAACAAAGCTCAGGCCCTCGGGAGGGAAAGAGACTTTCTCTTGTGATGCTTTGGGTTTAAATAGAGAGATAGAAAGTGGGTGAAACAAAGCCAGGAGGAAGGAAGCGAGCCGTTTTTAAAACAGGAGCATCTATACTCTACCAGCTCCCTCCGCAACACAAGCTGAGTCAACTCCTAAAATAAAATACACACTTCTTTAAGGAACAAACTCATCACAAACAAATGAGAAGGACAGACATACATACAGTCATCAACTATGGATGATGAAAATTTGGAGTTGCTGCAGGCGCTGAAGTTGTTTTTTTGATCTTTTCTTTTTTCATCATTCAAAATCAGCAGCCAATCAGACAGATGGGGATTTCAACTGTCATCAGCTGTCTGGATTCATTTTGAATTCAAAGTGTGTTACGCTCGCTCGAGAGCGAGCAGAAATGTCATACAGCGACGGAGCAGCCATCTGTTCAAACCGTTTTCCTGGCCTACCGGCGCGACAAAAATATGAGCCTCTTTTGCAGCAGCTTCTCAGCCAGGTGTTTAGATAAGAACAGAGAGCTCACTGTGCTGCTTCAGTGGAAATGAAAGGTCTTCTACAGACTGCAAACAGGGGAGAGAATTTAATATTTATGCTGTTTCTGCTCAGTGCTATTGAATAGAAACACTATTAATACTGAACTGAATGGTTATCTTATCACACTGGAACACAGCAGTCCTCCCCCTGACGTTGGAAGTTTCTGTCCTCTTCTGTGTGACTTTACTGAACACTGGCAGCTTTGATTTTTATTTTGCTAAGTCATCCTAAATCCCTGAAAGCGCCTCGGGGCTTTACAGTACAGTAATAAAAGCACGGCGTGGTGTAAGAATCATTTATTAGCTTTTCTGCTCTGCTGAGCAGCCACTGGAACACAAACTCACCTCCAGCATCTGAACCACTCCTTCATGCTCCCTCTTGGCGAATAACTGAGCCTGATGATTAAAAAGACATTAAAGTCATGATAACATTGGTTGTTTGCCCATAAAATTGTAATTCACAGAAGACTGCGCTCTGTCGACAGCACTTGATGCTTTATTGGTGCCCAAATGTTGCCTCCTGCTGGACAAAGCGCCCCAACAGCTTTAATTACACTGAGAGCAACCTATAGACCATGGGGGTGTGGATACTGATAAAAGAAATACGTGAGATTTGTTCAAGAGGCTGTGCTTCTTACCCGCTGTAACCGCTTGATCTCATCCTGTTTGAACTTAAGGATAGCCAGTGCCTGCTCATGTTCCAATTCCAGCTGCTGCCTTCGCTCGGCGACCTCTCGCATGTGCTGCTCACAAAGACAACGGTACATCAGAAAACGTGACGATGAGCGAAATTAAAACACAACATAGAAAGTACTTGACTGCAGCACTACCTTTAGGACCTGCTCTAGGTTCTCCAGTTTGGCACGGAGTCTCTGGTTCTCCTCGAGAACGGAATTGTGTTGAGCGGTCACTTCAGAGAGATCTTCCCTCAGCTCCTCATTCTCAGCCCGAGTCTGAAAAACAACAGCAGGTTAACTGACTGGATCGCTGCATCCCCACATCTTCGGCTTGAAGTTGGCGCGTAAAATATTATCACAGCTGACCACTATGATTGCCAATACAATGAAATGGAGAACAAAAACTATACATCCTCTTGTGTTCAGAGGCTGGACAGGTCAGAGAGACGCTGACCTGGTCGAGCAGCTGTGCCTTCCTCCTGAGGAGATCTGCCTCCTCCTTTAGTTGCTCATTTTTGCCTCGCTCATCCTCAAGCTGGCTCTCCTGTTACAAAAACACAAGACAACGTTCAGATAGCCCTGAGGAAATCCACGTCTGCCCAGCTGTCATTATGTCCACCACAGCAACGCTAGAACCGGACTGGAGGGCTGCCAGGGAGCATGAGTGAGGGAAATACTGGAGCAAGAAGATTGCTTACCAAATCCAGACATCTCTTCTGTCGCTTCTTTACTTCATGCTCAAGATTTTCACATTCTTTTCTCTTCTTGCTCAGCTCACTTTCCTGAACCGACAGTGATGACAAAGACAGCGGATCTTTAGTTCAAAAGCTAAATCTAACTCGTCACGTGGCTTTAAACAGAACAAACATTGTTTATTATTCAGGGGAAAACGATTTAAAACAGTATGTAACGTAATGACAAATGCATTTACATTTCACAAACAGAATACACTGGCTTTAGTTTCTATATTGACATCTGACAACATCAATGAGGTATTAGAAAGCTTAGCATCCTTTAATTATTCTAAATGCAGCTTACATGCAGGACCAGCATAGGAGAAATCAGCTTATTTCAGCACGGCCACAGGACCTCAATCAAGTATTACCGCCGTGATTGTGTGTGTGGGGGGGGAAGCTACAGAACAGACAGGCTAATTGCAGACCACCAGCAGCTGACTGGAAGAGATACTCTACTCTCACTAGCAATGACACAGCAAGACAATAAAGATAATTAAACCGCAATCTGTGGTCTGATTTGATCATTTTGTCTCAGTCGCAGCTCTGATGGCCAATGAATAATGTGCACCAAGCGAGCACGTCCCGTTGTGCAGTCACATCACATCACGAGTGGGACGCTAAACAACTCTCTGCTGAGATTTTAAAAAGACATTTCAAACTGAACTGTTCATTTGTTGTGTTTCCAGATTGTTTTTTTTCCCTCCTAATTTGGAACGACTTGTTCCCAGTGAACTAAATCCGTCTGTTCCCCAGAGGACGGTGTACACTACCATAGGGTTTTTCTTTTTTTTGCCACATAATCATTAAAAGCTTTTTTTTTTAAACTGTTGTCTGAACATACACAGAAGCAATTGGAAAATGGGACAAGGTCAAACCGGTCCATGCAGGTGATTCTCTGAATTCCCTACAGCCGTGCTAACAGATCTGTGAACAGTGCGCTGAGCTGCTCTAATCATTCCAACGCTCACATACTGATGTTTAACGTGAATGAGGTGTATAAATGCTCCCAGATTAATTTAGCATATTTGTTTTAGTATTTGCAGATTAGCACTAACGTTAGAGTACAGCTGAGGATGATGGTACTGTCATTTGTTTTGTAGGTGTTTGGGGAGAAATCAAAGTATTGGGCAAATTAAAATGTTCACCTGACGCTGCCGTGTGATGAAAACATCCATCCATCAGTGTTTATACTAGATTTCACAGCTACCCATGCCATAGTTGTTAAGGTATTTCAGTCTGGACCAAAGAAACGCACTGACCGCAGTCTAAAAATACCACCTGCATGCTTTCTCGGCCAAAGCAGTTTCTGGCAGTGTTTACTCAGCTGACGGGCTTTGTCCTACATCTCTAACTCATGTAAGTCATCTACTGCGCTGTCCAAGATTCCCTTTTCCTCTCATGATTCACTCATGTTCTGTGACAGGCAGCGAGTGAATCTATGAGGTAAGGCTAAAGTAATCCTTTCAAACAAACCAGAGCTTCGCCATGTTTCTTTTAAAGGAGTTTGACCCTTTAACATTAACCCCCTTTACACCTAAAAGGACTAAAAGCTTAGAAGCCTTTTACTTGTTGAACTGTTACGTTGAAAACAGTTTGTGGCTGTCATGGAAAATCTCTTGTTGTCTTAAATATAAAACAAACAACGCTGTTAGATTGTTAGCTCGGTCAATTTTCTTATTCATTTCTGAGCAATTCCTGATGTAAAGTAATTTTAAAACGCACTACTTTGACTCCGATGCAGCTGACCGTCTCTCTTATCGATGTCCCGCCCACAGCACAACCTGATTGGTCACAAGTAATAGCCAATCAACACTGAAGGACAAACAAATGCAGACGTTCTGTTTTAATTTAATATAAACTGAGATAAACAAAGCCATTCAAGCCAAGTGGAATTCTTATTATTCTAAATTTTAACACCAAGATTTCACTCTTTACTGCAAATGCACATTTGTTCTAAACATCAGTTACTGGCCTCCTTGATTACTAATAATCAGCATCATTGTCAGTGCTGCAAAAACCCTGTTAGTGGATTAAGACACTGAACAGTACGTTTTATCGGCTGCTATTTGTTTTTAACAATTCTTTGAGACGTCTGTGCTTTGTGAGTTGTGTGTTAAGTGTGTTTTTATATGTTGGAGCCTTGTCCAAGGAGAACCTATCTATCTATCTATCTATCTATCTATCTATCTATCTATCTATCTATCTATCTATCTATCTATCTATCTATCTATCTATCTATCTATCT